TATCATTCAACTCTAATCTATAACTAAGCCATGAGATATGCAATGAATAATAGAACATTTTAATGAAATATTAGTTATTGACAAAACTTCAGCTACGCCTATTGATCAATACAATACAACTAATTATAAAAGAAATAATATTGCTAAGGTACGACATGGAACGGCTCGACTGTATACATTTTGATGATTCAGGTTTTTGTTTGGAGATTATTGCGTACGCAGGATCTGATTTATATAATGAAGGGACGTCAGCTCGATAATTATAAAAAACCAGGGAGTATTAAAAATTCTGAACAATTTGAACCGACGACTCGATACGAAATTTAATCTAAAATGTTTGGGTTTCTCAGTGTCCATGATTACTAGGTTTGATTGTACGTGGATCCGTTGAATTACATTGCTGTAGAATTTTAAACTAGAATGAAACAGTTATTCTCTTCGGCTTTCAATGATTCTGCAGTTACTGCTAGTCCATAATGAAAACTGAATTTAGATCAAATGATCTTCATTCTAACCAAGAATCTCTTTGAACTGAAATAACCATACAAATCCTAATAATCGGTAAGGGTTTGCTTGCATAAAATAAGGTAACTCTTTGCTTATATTCTTACTACTGTGTGGTTGGAAATGGTCGTCAGGAAACCCTGCTAAATCTCGGCTTCATGCTGATTAGCAATCATCACCATGGCGCACCTGTAATCTTCAAAGAAATGTAACTTCTGGTACGATAAGAAACCTCTTCACCCAGCTTCGTAGCCTGAAATGTTATCACCGAATTATTCAGGCAGAGACTAACCTCCTGGGTGACTGAGGCATTCACAATTCACTGAATATTATGTAGTAGCTAGTGTTCTGTTTTTCTAGTCCTTAATGCTCATAGAATTCCGAAAGTTGCAAATAATTGAAATCTATTCACCGATATTTATCAAACTTAGTTACACGTTAATCAAGACATCTGTCCAATGTTTTCCTTATTTCAACAAATGTAAAAAAGGATATAAAACAAAACTGAAATTAGTCTAGTCGCCTATTTTGTGTGTGTATTACTGTTAACTAATTTGTTTTGCTTTGATAGAAAAAAGAAAACCAATGTGTTTTAATCATAAATTTGTAAATGTTAACTTTTGACCACCTACTGTTATTGTCTAAAATACTATTCACAGGAAATTACTTAATAACGAAGCACAATTAATTCTTTTTATATAGTTGAGGTCATGAGTCAATTAAAGCTAGACCACTATGGAAAAGCTGGAAGCACTGGACGGCACTGACTGGCTCCTTGAAGTAATTCCTAGAGTTCTAGTGAGAAGCCGTGACCAGTGGAGCTAATGCATGTCAGGTAGAGACAGGTATCTACCTCAGTATAATGGAAGATTGTCGCGCAATTTCATGGATAGGTTGAGGTTAGACATTAACACCGTCGGATGCTGGCTGTGGTCTAGAGGTTAAGTGCTCTGGCGCGAGACTGGTAGGTCCTGGGTTCGAATCTCACGAGGCGGGATTGTGGATGCGCACTGATGAGGAGTCCCACAATAGGACAAAACGGTCGTCCAGTGTTTCCAGATTTTCCATGGTGGTCTAGCTTCAATTGACTCATGATCTCAACTATATAAAATTACTAAATTCTCCACGAAACCCCCTTCGGAAAATTCTTTTTAAATATTGTGTATTTCAGTAACTCATTGTTCAGTTAAGAATTTGAAGCATGTTTAAAAATGTTTGTAAAGAATAATACATTTTGTCATATGTCAGATTTGAGTACTATTGTGGCGTATGCTAGTGATGCCGACAGACATAAATAGTATGTATCACCGATCAGAAGTGAAATGCCCTAGCTGCAGAAGGTTGAGAAGGTCAAAGTGAAGAAAACAGGAACAGAAAGTGATTAGTATGGAGATGAAGAAACAATAAAACTTGAAACAATTGATGAACATTTTACAAATAAAGTATTTGCTGCATGGTGCTCAGATTTTACTAAGAGATTCTGTAAGTTCGCGTTTAGGTACATTTAGTTGTCCCTGTTTGAGTTCATGTTCGTGACACTACCCTAAAATTATATAAGTAATGAATTACATACGGTTGAGATTCACCATAACATTTCTGGGACTTCTACCCGATGTTTGTGCTGATGATGTCGTTCAGAAGGACGATGAAAACTCCACGACCAAACCATCCAGCTTAAAGAACAAAACTCCATCAAAATCATCCACCTGAGCTACAAATCTACTCCACCATCTTAGAATTGAACATTCAGTAAATTTAAGATTTCGGATATTAATTAGTTTTTCATCCGTTACAATATCAGATATCATATTAATGAATAAAATCACTGATTAATTATTTGAGTAATCAGAAACGAATAAATGTTTATTCATGAAGGTTCTACACAAAATAATTATAGATCACATAAAGAAAATAGAATACAATGACATAAACATATCTTCTTTGATTGATTCCAATTTCAATGGTAAAACCTCTTGTATATTTTGATAACTTTGTGTTGTTTAAATAGTGTGAGGGGCTCCCACTTTTTATAAACTCAACTTTTGATAGAATAAACAAAGTTTACTATTTTATAATTAATTACTGCGATGAAATACACTGTGGTAGCGTTGCTTAGTCGAATTATTTTTTTTTAATAACCGGCAGTCGGTGGACTAAAATATGAACAATGATTTGTTGAAGATAGTTGAACTGTCATTTTATCATTATACTTCATTGTTGTGTTGAATACAGACTTTACAAATATATATATATATAACTTGATAATAAGTAAGTGTAAATGTTGACATCTCTCCAATATGAGATTTTTTCATAAACTGATATCAGATGTAACAGTTGTTTCTTTTATTGTCTAGAACTTCACAAAATTAAAACCAACGACCTTGGTATGGATTTGAACTCAGAAACCTTAAGTTCCATGAAACCTTAAGATCAGTTGGTCGAGAAAAGATTTACAAACTACTAGCAAATTATATTATTACACGAGGGTGATGATAAAAATACTGATCGAATTTACGGGAAAACTTGTGGCAGTGCTTAAGTCGGTAATTGTAGGCTATTTTAGATCATGTTATCATCAATAAATCAATTGATCTGCCTCTCTTATTCACACTGATATGTGATTTAACGTAGACTTTTTATTCGGTAGTCAAATGAGATTAAAAAGGAACTATTAGCTGGGCATTTTGTCTCACAACGTCATATCATTTAGCTTAATGGTCACAATGAAAACTCAGTTGACATAAGTAATTCAGAGCTTAGCAATAGACAACACGACAGTGGCTGTTAATCAATGACTGATTATTACAAAATATAAAAACTTATTTGAAAAACTAGTGCAATGGATTACACTTCATACATAAAACAAATGCGCATAACGCACTTGATAATAATGAAACGAAACATGATTATCCGCATGGTTCCTATAGTTAAGCAAGCAGAAAACAAAAACAATAACTAGTCCAAATCCTGATGTTTTAATCGTCAACACCAGACAAAAAAATGCAACTTATGTAAGACAAGGGAACTAGAGAATTAAATTTTTGTATCTTGATAAACCATGTTTGAATCAAAAATATCGGTGTTTATTTTAAGTTATTCCGACGATCTCCAATTCAAGCCATTAAGTTTAACTATTCAAAACACATTTAAGGAAAATCATCTAACTTGTACACAACACCAGCTCGTGCTGCAAATTTGATCATTATGCTGTACAGTTAACATTTTCCTGGCAAAGCATTATGAGAATGTGAATAAATTGGAAAACATAAATATCTTAACGGATACATACTAAAATAAATTAACACAGCGTAGGTACATTAATTTCTGACCACCCATCGAATGTCGAAGAGGTGAGGTTTTTTCAACAATAAAAATTCCCTTCTTTCTTTATACTCGTCATGATTTATACTGTTGGTGTCATTTTATTTGACTGTAATGTCGTTAATTTCGATCATGTCAATTAGGATATTGTATATTGCCAGGTTTGATTTGATGTATTATTTTACCATGACAGCATAATGTCGTCTAGATAGATAGATATATGCTTAGTGTGCATAACACATATCACAGACATCTTAGAGATTTATAGCATTCCTTAACCCAAAAACGGTAATGTAACATTTGAATCAATACATGAACAATCGTTAGTGATAAAAGTGACAACTGTCAGTAAACTTCAGATAATTCTTATTTTATACACATTTAAACATTCAATATAACGTTTAAAAATGTTTGTCGTACTATTTGTCTATCAATAGACCATTAATAGATTAATTTCATTCAGTCTATGAAATTCTTATGAATTCAAATAATTTTCCCAACAAACCTTAATCATTAATTTTTTATCCTACATTATCTGATATGTAGCATTTGAAATGCAGATGTGAGGGCGCGGATCGGCAAAGCAAGAGCAGCATATTTACAACTGATGAACATCTGGAACTCAAAACAATTGTCAATCAACACCAAGATCAGAATTTCCAATACATATGTCACGACAGTTCTACTGTTTGGGGCGGAAACCTGGAGAACTATGAAAGCCGTCATCCAGAAGATAAAGCTGTCTACGCAAAATACTTCCGATCCGTTGGACAGACACTATTAGCAACAACTTACTATGGGAGACAACAAAACAGATTTCAGTGGAGGAAGAAATCAGGAAGATACGCCGGAAGTGGATAGGGCACACTTTGAGGAAATCGCCCAATTGCGTCATAAGACAAGCCCTTACATGGAATCCTGAAGGCCAAAGAAAAAGAGGACGATCCAAAAACACATTACACCGAGAAATGGAGACAGACATGAGAAGAATGAACGAAAATTGAATAGAACTAGAAAGAAAGGCCCAGGACAGAGTGTGTTAGAAAATGCTGGTCGGCAACCTATGCTCCATTGGAAGTAACAGGCGTAAGTAAGTAAGTAGCATCTTCATCAACAACAACAACAACAACAAAAATATAACAAAACACAATAGAATGAATTATGTAACAACTTACAGTTTTACTTAATGCTTTGATTTGATCTCCTTCTATAGGTGGATTACTATAATCATCAATTAATATAATCTCCTTTACATTATTATTCCATAATAATAATGATGTATTTATGAGTATACTTTTTAATGTATTTTTCAATATGAATATATTTTCATTATGGGTTACAATGATAATACTTATTTTAGGTATATACTTATATATATCTGTATAATATAATAATGTTCTATTCAAACTAGACGATAATGTATTCAATGTTAAATTATTACATAATTCTAAATTAAATTGTTTTAGTTTCCAATTATTTTCATTCAAATTCAATGGGTTCAATGATGTTGAATGTGTGAATAAATAGAAAGTAATAAAGATGACAATAGTATAATGGGTGGGGAGATTAGGATACATTTGAGATATCGTTTTATATTATAAATGATTAGAAATTGATTACTTGTTTATACACGATTATGTAAGATCATTTTCAGTCAAATAAATTGGTTGCATATATAAATATAGATATAGAATTAAATAAGTCTTCCTGCCCCCCCCTTCCCAATTAAACAGTATGAAAAATTTTTCTTTGAATATTAAGCTTTAGTAACAAAATGAATGAATTTTTAAATCTATATTATTTGATTAGTTTTCTTTCTTCTTTAATTTCTTCACAATTTCAATAAAAATGGATGAAAAAAGGATTTACTATTAGAGATGATATACATAGATAGAATATCCCATTCACCTATCATAATAATAAACTATATACGTTATACGTAATGCAACATACACTTCAATATTATAATTTAATTATTCTCCAAGGAATTATATTTTTTGTGTATACAATATGTATGTGTACAAATATGTAAGGTGTGTGCTCTTGTTCTTTAATGAACGTTTTTTTTTTCTTGTTTTTGGTTTGTGCAGATTATAGCAGAAAAAGAGAAAAATAAACCAAAGGCCATTTTTAATATTGGTTAATAAATCTGAACTATGAGATTGGTTACATGATAGATATATGGTTGTATATGAATAAGTGTTGATTTGTGCAATAGAATATTATTGACACACACACACACACGCATTCATACACACAGTAGATAATAGTATGCATATACAAAAGTTGATGTTACCTACGAAACGTTTATGTTTAGTTTATAATTAAGTTATATCTTTTTTAAAGTGTTAATATTTTTTTATTTTTATTTTTTATTTTTTATTATGATAAGCCGTCTTCATTGTTATATGTTACCCTCTTTTTTTTCTCTTTTTTTGGGTAACGTAAGCCATTTGAATTAATTATATAATAAAATAGTTACATTTTTAATAATCTATGAAATACTTAATTGATTAAATAGTATATATTTAATGTTAACTAAATTATTATTTTAAGCAAAGATGGATAGTGGCTAGCAGTGAAATCCAGGAAAAGGCGCGTTTCGTCCTATTTGAAACTCGTCAGCTAGATGTACCTGCATCTCAGTCAGAGTTGATGTTCACTCTGGGACTCGAACGCAGTACTTTTTGCTTCAAGGCAATACGTACAGTATGCACATATGTCAATAAGAGATTGATCAGTTACAGTCCTAAATATCAATGGGAAGATTCAAACAAGTAATACTAAGTGAACTTAAGTATTATTTTGTTATGAATATTTTATATAAAGCATATAGTAGTGTAAATATTTAATAAATGATATCAGTTAAAATGTTATTGGAATTAAGTATCAAGTTACTGTTATATGTAGAGCTTTAGATTGTTGCTATGCCACGTACTACTAGACTACCTGAACGATCGAACCCGCAATGTTGCAAGAGAGAAGACAGAAAACTAGCAAGTAGGAATCTTATTCCCAAAAACAGTTTCAAATATAGAACAAAAATCTCATGTATATTTAGTTTTTTGGCTAAAGCCCCCAAATGCCCTGGTATGGCCGAGAGTGGGGAGAGTTCGTCCTCCGTCTCCAAATGATCTCACATGGCCACGCCTATAGAGCCTCTACCAGGGAAGTCCTACTCCCTGCCTTCTCGTGGCCCCGGTGTTGTTTACGAAAGTGAGAGGACGAAAAGCGAATGTCCACAGCTTTAACCGGGTTGGTGGACATGGAGGGTTCACCTAGGGGAGTAGGAAAACCGTGATTCCAAACCAATGGTGCACATGGGCTCCAGTATCCTGATGGAACGAATGGCGGACGAACCTATTGTTGGTCACCGGCTACCATGGGACTGCATCTCCTCACGATGCTCCACTGCCTTGTGGATCAGACTTTTAGGTCAAAGGCTCGGGGTGTGGCCCCCTAAGAAAACTACCTGCTTCAGTCTGGGCACCTGGGCAGTATCACAGCACTCACACAAACCGAATGAGATTTGTGAGGCACATATGTATCTGGTGCTTCCTTGTACCAATATTTATGTGTTTAAATAATAATAATAATTTTTGGCTGAAAGTAAATCATCATTTCGGACAGCCGATAGGCACATAGGGGGACCCTTCTTATCCATCCAATAGGGAAGCTACGTGTCAAGATTCTTGAATGTATCTCTGTCGGTGATTGGATGGAATGTCTTCGGCTCTTTCTGGGCTTCTTGAGTTTGCCGACGGGTCATCCTTACAATTACTGTTTATAATAAATGCACAAATGATTTCACTCTATAATGAACAATAGATGCATCAGTCTACTTTTGTTTTGTTAGTGTAATTTTTTCCACTAGGATTATAAATACGGATTTGGCAGTTAGATTACAAACAGTATCCAGTTATAAATTTGAATTATTGTTCCCGATGAAAATAACGTTCCTTACCTAAGTTAAACAGAGAATTTCGTTTAATTTATACGAATGAAACTCAGCTTAGTGTTTTACATCATGTAAGTATTAATGCTGCGAAATATGAATTCTTCTGTTGCACAAAGAGATATCATAAGTATTTTTATCTTGACTTTTCAAACCAAATATGGAACTTCAATTTCGACTCGTATTGGCAGAAACTCATTCCCAAATAATTTAAAAGTACTGACAATAATAAGTTGGGTTATACGACTTAAGAATTTGTTATATCGTGTGACTCGCCTGAGTGCCCTGTTAATATGTGACACAACGATGCCGCCAATTTGAGAGCAGTGATTTTATTGATCGGACCAGTGACACATAAAACCCGTACGAGCAGTCTAGAGTATTTGTTGGTCCTGCTTTCTGCCTAACCCAGCCAGTTAAGTCCAGAACACCAATAATAGCCTCTGTGGCGAGACTAAACTATACTGTCGACCTTTGAACGAATCTTCAATGACCTTGAGAAATATTAGCCAATCAGAAGACAGTTAGTATACAGTAAAAATATATTATACAAAACCCAAAAATAAGAGGGGATACTGTTCTTTTACATAACTCAAAAACTTCTCAAGGTCAGATATAGGTTCAGAAGTTCTAAAATCATAGTGCATACGGTACAGGAACACATCCATACGGCTCCATGGTAGTCGACCTCTGAAACCATGATAAGGTCTCAAAAATTCTTTTAGCCTCGACCACATAGCTTCAATGTTGTTGGTATATTGGTATGGTTTACGGTTTAGGGCTAGGGTTAAGGGTGAGACTATAATTTATGGACGAATGAGGGTTAAAAACCTGTAAGAAGAATTCAAATTATGATTTACAGCTCATGATTAAGGCTAGGAATTATACTTAGGGTTTTCATCACGAACTGACATCAGCTATAATGCCAAAACTCTATTTATCCAAATGGATAATTGAATTTCGCGCCAAAATCTTATGATCACTTCCATTGTAGACGCTAAGTTATCACATCTTCCCTAAAATCCGCTGTAAACCGATCGTACGCAAGCATCAAGTACCGAACTTAGCGCCGTGACCTTGAAAACCCGCGAAAGCTTCAGATTGGCTCGGCAGTATACTTTAGTCTCGCCGCCTCTGCAATATGAATCATTATTCTCAAACATACTGGGTTTATATACCAATCAAACAGACCACATCGTACCAATAAAATAGAAAATAACATTTGCACAAGATTTAGCCAAATGTGGGAGCCAGTAATTAATATACTGAGGATAACTCAAGAACGGCAAATCGTATAGTAATAGTCTACGAGTCAAAATAAAGCTTATAATAAGAGGGATACGAATATCAATGGTTTAGTTACTTAACAATCATACAATAGGCAATATAAACATCATACTGATGCATAAATAGTCCTCAAAGTTACCATTCATAATACTCTTCGGGATATAACAGAATGGTTTTTCTCATCGGTTATTTGACATTAGTTTCACACTAATTTGAGGTTTTTCAGAAGTGGGCACCCCGAATCCATGAAGGATTGTGTAGGAGCATGAAGACTGCTTTGTTAAATAGGAAACGAAAGTTTTTGTAAAATTGTTGTTACAAGACATTGTTTTAAGATACCAATCAATAAACCATAATAACACGTACTATAAGAAGATAGATTTGACATTATCATTGCATTAAATTCGAAAATGAACTACAGTAATTTAGTGAGGATATTGAAGATGTTTTTACTTGTAGATTATGAAAGGGAAACTATTTTATACATTCGAAATGGTCAAGTTCAATAATATACGTGTCAAGTTTAAAACGTTATATGTAGCTAACGTAACGGACTGCCTCCAACTAAATAAACACTAGAGACTAGGAAGCACTGGAAATTCATCTAACCGCTCAGTATTGTGGGCCCACAATATTCCTAAAGATTGAACCCACATGATACAAACTACAAATTGATCTGTCTTGATAGACCTTTAATGACAATAATATTTATTATTTCCTGTTTCACTACTTATCATTAACAAGTAGTATACTCACGAATTGAAATATTGAAAAACGAGAATAGACTCACTAGAATCAACGACAAAATGGATAGAAATTCACCAAACTCAGAGTATTTGGTTCTCTTTATATTTTCAAATTCCTTTTCATACGCATAAAGATATCATGACTATTTGTACAATAGGAAAATACCCAACCTTTTCTCTTACCATAGTTACAATCTTATAATTTGATGTAAGCATCCAAAAGACGAAAACTTGTTTTCTACTTCTCTTGTAAACTTGTTGTCAAAAATTTTGCTTATCAATTCTGACATTTTAGATTTCGTTTTCTTTCAATAGAAAAAATATGAGAAATTTAGGAATACAAGTACACAAGGATGCACAAGGAGAAAAATACTACTGAAGTTCGTAAGTTAAATGATCAAATAAACCAAGAGATTAGACGTCTCAACTCTGTGTTTACTCAAAAACTCCTATCTTGTAGAAGCTCCCCAAGTATGTGGAAACTCTTTAAAGAAATTACAGAGAACAAGAAGACTAGAAGCGATAACCAGCTGAGTGTTTGTAACTTAAATAAGTCCCTTATACGTCAGTCATCTGACATCATGCTCCCTATATCCAAGGGTTTGAAGAATAATCGTGTCCCCAGTTTCACTGAAAATGATGTCCGGAAATGTCTCCAGTCTCTGAATTCATCCCAATGTTTAGGACCTGATGGTATCCCAAACCTCTTTTTTAAAAACATTTGCTGATGTTTTATGTTATCCATTAACGAATATCTTTAACAGATCCTTCTCAACTAATGTCTTACCTAAAATGTGGAGAAAGATAAAGATAATCCCTATACCGAAGAAAGTTTCTGGTGATAAAAATGTGAAACTTAGACCCATAGCAATACCTTACCTTTCCTTAAAATAATGGAAAAATTACTGATACAATCACTTTAACCTGCAATAAAAGAGCACTGTGATCCATTTCAGTTTGCTTACAAATGCAAAAGAAGCAAATTAGATGCCGTTGCTGTTCCGCATCACAATATAGTGTTCGGGTTGGAAAAGGGTAAAAAGTATGTTAGATGCGCTTTCCTGGACTTTACTTCTGCTTTTGATTCTATTCCAAGACATCTCTTACTTAACAAGTTGATCAGCGTCGGCACTGACAGCTGGATAACCAATTGGCTATGTTCCTACCTTTCTGGAAGAGAACAGTACACTGTATTTGAAGGAAAGTGTTCAACATCTCTACTGTCTACTGTAGGTGTGCCACAAGGAGCTGTTCTTTCACCTCTGCTCTTCTCTTTCTTTTTGCATGATCTGCCATCTTCCACAGAAAACACTTTTGTAAAATATGCGGACGACCTCACTGTATGTATGCCGATTTCTACCTCCTTACATCCTATAGAAATGAATGAGTTTTTATTTCGTATTGAAAGGTGGTCTGTTGGTAATGGTCTCTTACTCAATCCATCTAAATGTCAAGCTGTCAACTTTAGCTTGAGACATGGACAGAACCTACTCTATGTTGGGATCACATAATGCTTGTGCCTTTGGAGACTCCTTAATAAACACAGTGTCGAAGGTCAAATATCTTGGTGTCATTTTTTCCTCTGATCTTTATTGGTCTTCTCATGTTTTACTGTTATCGAAAAAAGTTTACCGTTTGACATACTACATAAAGAGGCTGCATGCTTTTGGGATTACTCGCCATTTACTCTTACAATTTGTAAATTCCTGCATATTACCTATTATTCTATATTGTTCTCCATTATTCTTTCCTGGGCTTTTGAGAAAAGACTTTGCTGTTTTGCGTAGAGTGCTGAAGGCGGTTTTCAAGGTATGTGGTGAATCTTTTGAAGTCATTATTAATATGCTTGTGGATAGACATCTTAAGTCTTGCAAACTCTTGGCAGGTTTTATCTTATCAGATACTAACCATCCGCTTCATTCATATCTTTCTCCTTGTATATCTTCTGGTAGAACGAGAAGTAAATACATTAAAATCCATGCACGCAAGCAAATCTATAAAAGTTCTGTAATACCTTACCTTGCAAATTTACTTTGTGACGAACAGGCTGTTAGAATTGACCTAGTAAATAACCTGTCTTCTTAAGCATGTTTCAAATTTGATAATTTGTATAAACTCAGTTTTTCTTAAACCTTTTTCATTCCTTTTCTGTTTTTTTTTGTTTTTTTTCTTGGTTTTGTTTTTTGGTAAAAAAAACTTGTTGAAATAACTCGTGCTGAGAATTCTATATTGTACCAGATTCTAATATTGAATAAAGCCATTAATAATAATAATAATAATAATAATAATAAACCAATTCACATGGATGAAATATTAGATACAACAACAACAACTGAACAGTATACAAAAAAAGTTGAATCTAAGCATAATTCGAAATAAAACAACCAGATGCAGAACTCTCACCACACGAGAAACTGAAGGAACTCGCTCTTTTTGTTTTTCGTAAGAATGGCTACCCCGACAATTTCATCAAATGGTCTGTGATGAATTAAAATATCAAAAAACCAACCCCGGAGAAAGAAACAGATCGTCCTTCGATATGTAAAAAACATCTCAGAAACCATTATAAGGATTCTGAATACAAGGTTAAATGAAGTCAATCAACCACAAACAAGGCAATCAAAACACCCTACCATAACACTTGAGAATAACTGAAAATCTTAATTCTACATGAGGTAGAAGCAAAATATATTGTCGAGAATGACAATGGAATCCCTACAGTCAGATCATCTAACTAAAGTACGACAGCATTATGAAAAACATTTACAAAAACTTTAAGTTTTCTCCATCGTTTCAACCATCCCAGTTTCTTTTGGTACTGATATTTAATATAATTCTTTTGAATTTAATAGAGAATTCATTCATTTTTATTGACTAACTCACTTTGTTACTTCACATAATGATTCTACTGCTAATACTACAGTAGTGTATATTTCTTAGAATACAATAAACAAGGAATAATTCATTATCTTTGTATCATTAATTTACACATCAAAGTATACCGATAAATGATTTGAATGAAGTGATTAATTTAAAGAATTCTTTTAAAACACGGCTGTGAAACATGGCCATTAAGAGTAGAGGATACTCGTAAGCTATGAGTACTTGACCACAGATGCCTTAGAATTATTGCTTGCATCTACTGGGATCACCAGGGAAGTAATAGTGAGGTTAGACACAGAGTATTAGGGAATGATGGTAAATCAATTAATGAGGTCATGAATCTTCATCGACTGAGATGGTTGAGCCACGTGTTACTTATGCCTGAACACCAATTACCACGACGCGTTATGCTGACTAGTATTGGCAATCGTTAGGAGAGAGTTAGGAGCGGCCAAACCAAAATGTAGCATCAGTCAACAAAGTTACCAACTTCTGGTCTGAGCCATGTTAGCAGATGCAGACTACTTGGTTAGGATCCGCGCGGCTATCGTAACCAATAGTTGGAGTCTCTGGATGACATAGCTCAGGATCGATCACAATGGTGTAGGTGTATATATTCCTTGCCTTCCCTTAAACCGTGAGATTAAAATTGTTTTATACCTTTCTTTCTACGAACTGATTCTTTCTTCCTGTATTATATCCTCATACACAATCTTTCTTTTATATATTACTGCCATTGAAGTAACTGATTCTATAAATTTGGTGTTCATCTTGTTGTGCTAATGAACTGTGGCAACTTGAATCGATGCATATATGTGCCTAGTCCTGCGTTTGTAGCTGACTGACTGAAAGTAGTATTATTGAAGTAATGTTTAAAACCATGACTCAAAAGCTAAGTGTCAAGTGCATGGTTGACAGTCAGATAGTGAGTCTAAGAATTCAAACCGTCATCAATGAGTTTTGTGATAAGAACCTAAGTTTATCTATTCTCTAGATATTTTTTGGACTTATTGGTATCAAAACAACCCAAAGTAAAACCATAATTTTTTTGACAAAGAACTCATGAAATAAATACCTTCACTCATAACACAAAAACTACCCATAGATGAGCAGCGAATGTGCTGAGAGAGAGGATTACCGCTTTGTTTACAAACAGCTTGGTAAATTGCTAATAATTTCTCCCAGAAACAGTAAGAAGGAACATATGACCAAACTATCGAGACTACCAATAAGACAGACCTAGTGAGAATGCCAAATACAGAGTTACAGAGCCAGAATCAATTTCATTTCCTTTGATTATGCCCAGGAAGGTGAGAACAAAGGTTATATTAGTAGTTGACCGTACAATATTATCTTAAAATTATTATTTCGAACATAAAACAAGTGCTTCTTAAATGTAATTTAACGTTAATCCTGTACTAGATACACATTTGTGTACTCGTCTTTGGACCAAAATTTTCGTACGACGGCTAGTGATACTATTTGGTTGCGTCAGCTGAGATGGAGCAGACTTTGAACGTGTTAGTAGCTGAAAACCAAATCGTTTAACCACTAAACCACCATTTCGCAGGTACGTTTTAGCTACTTTACAACTCGTTAAGGGGCTGACAAACTACTCTAAACACACTACACCTGAAGTACGAACGATTCACTATTCACTCTTTATAGTAACTGTGACGTTCTTATTACAGTTTACGACATCATCCATAGTTAATTTTAATAATGCAATCTATCTTTAAATTGAACTTGATCTAAAAAATTTATGAAAGGCCATTTCGGAGCAGAAAAAGGTCTTTACGTCCTTGCGCAATAGTTTGGGTTAATAGTTCTCGGTTGTTTGAACTATGAAAGATTATATTTTTCACAGAGAACTACTTTGAGTGACATTTATGTTCACTTGAAGCCCCCCACAAACGTTTAGAAAAAGTGCTAGTTTTCTGATGAAACTGAGTGTTTTTGAGAGAGGCTTAGCGCCTTTAATGCGTGTTCCTAGTATTATACAAGATGAGAAGACAGTATCACCAGGGATACCAGTCGGCTGAAGCAAATCTACCTGACTATAGCTATTATCTAAGGTTCACTATAAAGTACCTATCACGGTAAGACCGAATCAACAACAGTAACTGATGCTGCCTTCCCACAAGGAAGGGTGGGGTTGGAAAAAGTTGGCCGTAAAAGTGCAGACCTCACCTTACCCCACGGATTTCCGTCTCCGGTGGTAAGGTTGCAACAAGTACGGAGCTAACACGAAAACCACTCACAAAAAGGTCGTGTGTGACCAGCCTCAAGCAGTTGTCCCTTGGGCACTGCGATCATTCTCTCATGTCACTAGAACCACGCCCAACCCAATTTTCTTTTCATTTACCTCTAGAAGAACCCATCCACAGTGTGGGCAACCGGGAAGTGAAACCCGCCCTCATACCTCTAACAGCACTTAAGATTACTGTATTCGTCAGACTATTACAGCTTATTGATGAACTAGAAGGAAGGTTCAGTAGACGCCCAAGTTTGAGATCGACAAACCAGACCCCGTAAGGATCGGTTGTGCACAGACCAAATCGCGACACTACGGATCATCGTGGAACAATCAATTGAATGGAGCTCGTCACTATACATCAACTCCATTGACTATGAGGAGTTTAACAGAGTGGGTAGGAGGACCTTATGGAACCGTCTTCAACACTATGGTGTACTTGAGAGGATCATTAACTTTACATGGAATTCATGCGATGGACTACACTGAAAAGTCGTGTATGGAGGACAGCTGACAGATGCACCTCAAGTGGAGAACGGAGTCAGACAAGGTTGCTTAATCTATCCCTTTCTCTTTTTTCTAGTGGTCGACTGGGTTATGAAGACCTCCACGTCTCAGGGGAAGCACGGAATACAACGAACAGCTTGCATGCAACTAGATTGATTCGATTTGGCAGATGACCCGGCCCTTCTATCCCATACACACTAACAAATGCAGATGGAGACAACTAGTGTAGCAGAAGCCTCTGAAGCAGTAAGCCTCAACATACACAAACGAAAAAGCAACATCCCCAAATACAACACGGAGAACACCGACCCGGTCACAGTCGATGGAGAAAATCTGGAAGACGTGGAAACTTTCACGCACTTGTTCGGCATCATCGACAACGAAAGAGGACTTAATGTACAGCAGAGACAGCATTCCTACAACTGAAGAAAATATGGAACTCAAAACAACTGTCAGTCAACATCTAAATTGTAATTTTTAATAAGAACGTCAAGATATTTTTACTGTACGGTGCTGAAACTGGAAGAACTATCACAACCATCATTAAAAACGTACAAGTATTTATAAACAACTGTCTACGCAAGATACTCAGTATCCGTTGACCAGCAACCATCAGTAATAACTCACTGTTATGGAGAACAAGTCAGCCTTAATCTAAGAAGGGAATCAAGAAAAGACGTTGCAGGTGAACAGGATACATATTGTGGAAATCATCACATTACATTATGAGGCAAGTGCTAACTTGCAATTCTGAAGGGAGAATGAAGACCAAGGAACAAATGGCGTCGGGAACTGGTAACTGACATCAAAAGAGTGAGTAGTAACCCGGAAGGACTGCCCAGAACAGAGTTGGGTGGCCTATGCTCCTCCACGAGGGGCAAAAGGGAGGAGTTGAGTTGAGCATTGCAGCTTATGAATGACATTAGAAAGTAAAAAGCAAGGCTAAAAATCTAATTTCAAAAGTGTATTCTAAAAACGGTTCTGTACATGCGGGAATATCTCATCTTGTGCGAAAAGAAATCCTAGGGTCAGAAATGAACACACTTTCTTTGCTTTCGAAAGGCATGAAACCTAAGTAACCCGTAAGAAACGAGAACAAACCTTACCGAATTGTCTAGACCTTATGATTAACTTGGATATTCTTTTTTGCATAGGAATACACATTCCTGTAATGTGTCGCCCGTAGATACGGCCAGTATAAGGAGAAACGAATTGTGATAACAAACGAACATTCTATAATTTATCACAAAGAAGTGGTATTCATACCTTGTAGTCTAGAGGAATGTTTTTTTCACAAATAAAACATTTCTTCCTCGTTTTACGATACGGATCCGGAATATCAACTGGCTTAGAAAATACTAATAATCATAATACGTCTAACCTTATCATCATCTCCGTTGAGGTCCACAGAGAAAAACCGTACACTCAGAGCTGGTTTAAGATTTAAAAATCCAGGAATCAATAAAGAACTTGCACTTTCTTTTAGTCGAGTAGGCCAAATGCCCAACGTAGCGAAAACCCTCATACCTAGCGCATTTCTCTCTGCATGTCCTTGAAAGTCCGGTTTTTCTAGTAGTGCAAATGGTTCAAATGGTTGAGGACGGAATAGAAGAAGCTCTCGCTTAACGGGTTTCCGTGTCTAGTAGCAGTGGATCACCAATAACTCCAGGCAAAAACCTAAGTATATTAACGATAACAGAGGGAGGGAAATGAATTTGGTAAATCATAATAATATGTTATTCTTAATCCTTAAGAATAAGTCAAATTTCCTCTTAAAGGACTCCTGGGAAGTCGCTCGGACTAGTTCAGTCAGTAGCGAATTCCAGCATTTGACAACTCTTACGGAGTAGAAGTTGTGTCTGCAGTCTGTTCTGTTATGTTGGGTCTCCAGTTTCTGGGTGTTTCCTCTTAGGTTAGTGTCGTGACTAAGCTTAAGAAGATGTTTAAGGGGATGACCAGAAGTGTTAAGGATACTGTAAGTCATTAGAAGGTCACCTCTAAGACTCCTGTACTCTAACGGGTAAAGGTTAAATGATTGCAGGCTCTCTTCATAAGGTTTGAATTTGAGTCCCCGAACTGATTTCGTGGCTTGACGTTGGATACGTCACAGAGTGTCCTTATGCTTTTGGAGGGAGGGAGGAAATACTATACTTTTGTACTCTAAATAGGGACGAATAAAACTGTTGAAGATTATGTGGAAATTTCTACCGTCAAACTGGCCAAAAATGCGCTTCCATGTTACCAGTGCAAGGTTAGCTTGAGAGGCGTTTTTGTCACAGTTCGCATACGATTTCAGGTCGTAGGGTACCAACACCCCTAAATCTTTTTCGACTTGATAAACTTCTAGAGAGGAGTTTCCTAAATTGTAACTATAGTCTGCAACATGTCTCAGATGGACTACATTGCACTTTGAAGTGTTGAAGGTAAGTCCGTTGTCGTCTGCCCAACTTTGAAGTCGGGTCAGATCCTCCTGAAGTGCTAGTATATCCTTTTGGTCACGTATCTCTCTCCAAAGTTTCACACCATCAGCAAAAAGCAATAAGTCAGATGAAACTTGTTGAGGAAGATCGTTGATATAAATCAAGAAGAGAAGAGTTCCTAGTATTGAGCCCTGGGGGACCCTTCTAGGACATTCCATAGCCTGAGAGAATGTGAAGTTAACCCTGACTTTAAAAGGTCGATTTTTTAGACATCAAGCAAGACAGTCAATTATAAGTGGTTTGATACTTAGTCGTTTAAGTTTATTGATAAGATATATGTGGTTGACCCTATCAAAAGCTTTTGAGAAATCAAGGTACCTAATGTCAACCTTTCCCTTACGAGCAAGGGTGCTTGTCCACTTGTCAGTAGGTTGGTTATACAAGAGTGACGCTTCCCAAAATCATGCTGTTGGGGTGAGAATAGCTTTAAGGATAATAAGTAGTAGTGTATACCATCGCATATCAGGGACTCGATAATTTTAGAAGGTATGGAGTGAAGGGCCACTGGTCGGTAGCCTGAGTGTTCGCTGTGTAGACATCCTTCGAAAATTGGCGTGATTTGAGCCAGCTTCTAAATTTCCGGTAGTTTGCCTCGGCTTAGCGAGTGTGAAAACATCACACTAAGCGGTGTTGCCATGATTGAAACTGCTTCCCTCAGTATAGCATAATGGACCATATCCAGGCTGGGAGAAGTGTATTTTCTTAGATGCTGCAATTTTCGGAACATCAAGTCAGTCCTCAGGTTCACTTCGGAAAGTCCTGTGCAGTTGCAGATGAAGCTTTCATCAGTGTAGTTGATTTGGGCCTAATGAAATGTCCGAGAATACTGTTCAGCCAAAAGTTTAGCGGCATTACCGTCGCTACTGGTTGGGCCATTAAGACCTAGCGGTTGGAAAACTCCAGCTTTGGCTTGTCGAAGAGAAGCTGAATAACCAAAACAATTAAGTGGTTCCGGCTCTGAGTGTGCACCTGAGTTTTACGAGACGATTTGTAGTTGAATAGAGACATAACTCCTGCTTTAACCCATTAGATGCCTGAGAGACTCGAAACACTATTTAATCAAGGGAACAAAATCCCCTAAATTACTGACGTGGAGGTGATAGTAACCTGTATGCTTTTGTTTTGCAACAGCAGAAAACCATAAAGACAGGTGGTACCGCCCTATAAGTACGCAGCATATTACCATTAATAGGAAATTACAACATGACCATAACTATCACGCAGGTGAGAAAGAACTAATCAGTGGGTCCTCCAACGGTAAATTATTAATTAGAATAATACCTAAGTGTCCAATAAGTATAAAATAGAAATATGAGCAGAAATCACTCGTAAAATAGCCCGAAAATTTGCATTTTCACAATTTTATCCCATTTGTGTCATTGATTAATAAGTTCCACCTAACAAACATCAAGTCAGCACGGACAGGCTGACTTAAGTCACACACAAATAATCCAATTTTTAAGTCGAGTTAAGCTTCCATACTTTAAGACTATGTCATGTATTCGTGTGATCTCCTAGGGGTCGAAGGTAGAACCCCTGCTCTTTTTAATTTTATATAGATGACCTTCCTCACCGAGTCTTTTTCGCAACACCACGTTTTACTGATAATATTTAGCTCTTGAGAGTTTACAACCAGGGCGGTAAGCTGGGTTGACATTAAAATCACGGCTCGTATAATCCCCTACCACCCTTTTTTCGAAAATGAAGGATGTGAAAAAAATGTAGCGATTGGTGATTGGTTAACTTGTTTTTGAAAGTGTGTGCTCAAGTGAAAATGAACAAACATCTTGTCACCTGTAATAATTTTTTTAATTAGATGTAAATGGTGCAGTTTTGTAATCTGACTCGTTCAGATCGAAATACAATAAAGTGCTTTTATTGGATGTAAGAATTGACATTTTCATGTCCGATTATTGTTTACAATAGTTAACTATTTTTGCACTGTTCCATCTGAGTTTTGTAAAACATTTTAACTTCGAAAAAAACAAAAACAAATCCTTTTCATTGCCCTGCTATACTGCTGTCAGTGAATGCATATCGGGATAATTTTTTTATGAAGTAGAAATGCAACTAAAGTTATCAGTTATCGTGACAAGAGTAATAACAATGTGTAGATCATTGAAAGTCAATTTTTGAAAAACTGACAGCTGTTATTAATAGTTGATAATGGTGATTATTGAATTTCAAATGTAGTCAAATGTTTAATACACAATTAGTAAACACATTTTCATTTAAGTATTCCCATAAGTTAATTTAACACATAGTTCGCTCTTTTAATAAACGTTACATTCGTGTAAATATATGAATAAATTATGTTGAAGAGCAGTGAATGGGGCATGCCGAAGTCACGCTAACCGTAAAAGATGGGTAAATGAAGCAACTTATACGCTATCTGAAATTAGTAATAATGTCTGAGAAAAAAGCAAATAATCTTAATAGTTCACTTATTTTGCAAACCGTTATTCTTAATACCAAAAAGTTGATTATTTTAGCTTTGAAAAGGGTGTCGAAAATGAACGCAATATTGTTATCAAGGTTTTTTTGTAAATCCATTGAAAGCATAAAATATTTTGACCTGTACATTATTTGTAGTTGATCACTTATTAATGATCACCGAAAATACATGTTAGTGTACTCAGTCATGTAATACGGTAATTGTATTTGTGAGGTGGGCATAACATTTTTTGGCAGGTAATGTTAACAGCCAATGTTTTTTAAGTGCACAGCCTTTCAAAATAATGATCTGATTTTTTTTCTTGTCGTTTGTAAATAACATTGTAAACGTTATTTATTTAGAAAGTCTGGAATTATATTTCCAAATCAACAGTTCCCTTTGTTAAACATACTAGACGAACAATGAAAAACTGTATGTTCATTTTCCGTCAAAAGGGAAAACAATTACTCTTAAACTGTCAGACACTAAATCGCTGAATGTCGAAAAAATAACCTTTTTGACAAGCATATGTAATATAGGTTGAATGAAGTGTCAATGAACAAGTCTATGTCTAGCGAAATAAATTTCTATCTCAATTATATGACTTAATGTGAATAAGGTCAATTGTATCAAGTAACCATTATGTATTTAGAATATCGTATTTCAATCTGTTTAGTTAAACTATACATGTATTTATCAGACGTCTAAATGACATTTATCACTGTATCGAATTTTTCAATGCAGTGATAAATCTCATAAGAAACATTATTATTACATTTCGTATGTTCCATTATTATTATTATTATTATTATTATTATTATTATTATTGATGACATGTAAGACATGTAAGACATGTAAGTCTTCATTATATGACGTTGTTTTCTGTACAGAATCGTTTACTGAAACCTTAAATTTGAAAAACCTTAAAAGCTGTTGACAAAATAATAAAGCAATCATCGATCACTTTATTATTATTAATCTAGAAAAAGTGATTTTACAGCTTCATTACTATGGAATTGTGATGAATGTTCAGTGTCTGTTCACTTGACCTTCCCAATAATTGAGGATGGAGTTACTGACCAGCAAGCACTGATGGTGAGGGCGATGATTTCAATCCACCCGTGTTTGTGAGGCAGAACATTTTGTTTGTATCAGGCTCTTTATGGATGAGAACAAATCAATCAATCTGTGATATTGAGATTGTTCTCCTACACTCACCATTAAGACTCATGTTTCTAATTTTTGTGCTGGATTAACTATTCTACTAAGACAACCTTTAACATGCTAACTCAGACTTTTACATGAAAACTGTATGACAGGCATCGGATGATGAAAAAAAATAGACTGTAAAGGATATGGTTGTTATTTTACTCAACACTCTACTCTCTATATGCACTCTCTGTTCTTCCCCATTCCAACCTTGACTTCCCTCCTTCATTGGAACCTACTCCACCTTGATAAATATCACAACTCATTGTTCTTTATCACTGCCTTCTCTCTTCTGGAGCCCCTAACCACAGTTCACCCTTGCAACATGAGCTAGTATCAATTTAATCTAATAATTTATCATACCTCCATCTGTTCTACTAATAAATGTTGAGCATTGGTTATAGTTCATATCCCAATGCCTTGCTGCTCCTCGGTTTCTCTTCTATTTTTTCTCTTCAGAATCTTGCTCTGAGGGTGA